GTTGACAATGTAGTAGATATAGTAATTTACTTTACTGTATTATAGAAAAGTAGTTCTATTAATTCTAATGGTATTTCTCTTATTGTCCATAAAAACATTTACCCTAGTGTGTAAAAGTCATTAACTTAACAAATGAACAATTACTATATAATTGTACATAAGAATGAAATATTAAAGAAAATTAAGACAGATAAGAGTGCCAGATTAAGATCATATGACCAAATCATAATGCCAAGGTAAGAAAAGTTAAGTGGTGCATATGAGATACACGAAAAATTTGTTTAGAATTTTTAGAGAAAGTGCCAGTAAGTTTGTACCTTTTGCTGGTTCAGGAACTTTCCTTTCCACTTTTGTAACAGCAGGTGGAGGGGCTTCAACCTCTTCAACGGCTTTTGGTGATGGTTCTGGTAGTTTAAGAAAAAAAAAATTGTCTACAATTAGTTTAAGATTTGACATACTTAGATATCAACTGATTTGATATGAAGAGATCAAACTGCTTTTAAAGCGGTTTATAGAATCCCCATGTTCTATAATTTTCTATGCTCTCTTCTCCACTCTCAGAATTTATTTAGCTGTCCTTTATTTCATCCACTTCTTCCCCAACACTATCAACTTTAAATCATTTACATACTAGTTCCCAATAAATAAACTGATTAAGAATAGTTTATCATTACGAAAATCATGTAAAAACTTTAAACTTTTATAAAATGTTTGTTGACATCTTTCCAAAAAGCTACACCTGAGCGAACTTGGTTATCCCATATTAACTTCTACTAAAAGAACTTAAGTGGCAAAGTAATAATTTAATAATGAAGAGATGATAAATAGATGAATTATTTGATAATTTCTATAACGTGTTAAAACAGCAAGCAGAGTATGGAAAACAGACTAGATGACAGATGAAATATGAAGCTATATTTATAGTTACTATGTTTACAAGATAAACCTTTTGTTAAATGTCCATTTTGTTAAAAAATAATTTCACAAATCATTGCTCAGATTCCTACCTGTAGGTTTTTTAATTTTTTCTACTTTTTTAGGTTCAACTTTAGGCTCTTCTTCTTCTGGTCTTTTTCTTAGTACTTAAAAGACAAAAAAGGTTTATATGTAAACCAAAACAAGCCAATGAAGATGTCAAATAAGTTAAACAAATGAAAATAATGTGATGACAAATGAAAAAAAATAAAGCAAGAAAAAGGCAAAGCATGTGAGATGGTGCACTGGGGATGAAAATTTATACACACAAAGTTTAAAAAAGTTAAATGTTTTGGTGTTAATCTTAGCACATTGTTACTAGATTTCTCCATAGGTAGCTGTTCAAACACTAAATAAATAATGAATAACAACAAAGTCTAATAATAATTCAATGTTGCAATTTAATGAGAAATAATTAATAAGTAAAAAATTATTCAAGTGATGATATCTAAAGAAATATAGCCCATAAATCAGTTAATCTATGTAAAGTTTTAAAATGAGGTTCTTTATTTGATTAAATTATTTCTAATTCTTTAATATTTTATTAGTAGTAAAGAAATGTTCAGTTTTTAAAAATTGTTATTAGTTGTGGGGTTCCAATGTTACATTTTAGAATCAACTACTGAATTTAAGTTTATATGGTTTGGTGTAATTAAAAGTACTTAAAAAGTATAATGCATTTTACTACAAAATTTGGTTATAAAAATAACAGTTAACAGTGACTGTTATTAATTTTGAATAGCATCAATTTAGTTGCATATATTAATATTACAAATTTCAAAATACTTTGAATACTCACAAAATTTCTATTTTTTAAAAAAGATATGATTCTTGTTAAATTTCATAATTTTCAATAAATTGATAAACAAGCAAATGTATTTTTTTAAGAAGTTATAGAAAAGTTTTGCAAGCTTTCAAAGTTTTTTGGGTATATTTAAAAGTGATATAACAGTTGAAAAATACTATACCACTTTTGAGAACAATTTCTTCCTTTGGTTGAGGTTTAGGTTCAGGAAGTAATTTTCGAACTTTCTTTTCACCTTCAGGCACTTTTAAAAGAATATGATTTTAAATTTTGAAATTTGAATAGAAGTGAATTTATATAAAAAACAAACTTTAGCAAGAAAAAACTCTATTTGAAAACTAATTCATTATAATGCATCAATAATTTCTATTGTATATAAATATAAAAAATTAAAAACAATATACTTTAGGTTCTCCTTAAAAATTTCCTCTGAAAATATCTTCTATATAACCTTTTGATGAAATTCAACTGTATTAATCGAAAGCAAATACATTTATCTTAAATGAGCGTAGAAGACAGTGGTCTATACTGAGTTGGTAAATCTTTCACTCTAACACAGGGGTTTGGACAACAGTTTAGTCCACACCTGCAGTAGTAGATGAATCAAATCCTACTATTAATTATGTTAAAATGTATTGGTAGACGTAAGTGATATGATTCCAGGTACTCTATTGATGAGAGGAGAGTGTTAGCCTTTCTTACGGTCATTTTTATGAAATAACCTTAATTCAAATTTATACAGCTATAGAATCTGAAAGTTGATGATAAACTTATGTTTAATAGATAAGAAAATGTATTTTCATTTAGACTGAAGACCCAAAGAATTCTAAATTTCTTCCTTTTCTTTAGCAAATATTGTGCATAGTAATGTCATTAGTATATAGAATAGCATCTTATTATTATAACCACCGCATGGGTTTGAATTGGAAATAAATGAATTATTTCTGATTATTTTTATATTTATTTTGCTTTTTGGGTCACACCTGGCGATGCACAGGGGTTACTCCTGGCTCTGCACTCAGGAATCACTCCTGGCAGTGTTCACGGGACCATGTGGGATGCTGAGAATCGAACACGGGTAGGCCGCATGCAAAGCAAATGCCCTACCCTCTGTGATATCGCTCCAACCCCACTTTCTGATTATTTAACCACTGATTCAATTATAACATAATTAAAAACATGATTTCTCTCACATTTCTTAATATTTGTTCACCACCTTGAAATCCAAATTTCTTATGTATTTCTATAAAATTTCATTTTGCTGCTTTAAACAAGACAGCATTGTTAATTTTTTTTATAATGAAGACAACCTCATATAACTACAAAAACTTAACATACAAATGGCAAATATGCAAATGTTTCATTTTAAGTAAAGATTTCTTATCAAGTATTTTAGCAAAAATTCACAGATAAACATTTAATATTTTTGTTCATAATAAAACGTGCTGATATTCCATACTATTTTAAAATTACCAATATTCTTCACTTTTTGTTTCTTTCAGTTCTAGGGTTTAATCCTAAATCCATGTATGCAAAGTATGAGCCACACCTTTATTCCCTACCAACTTTCTTAATGGATAACTACTTCACTGGCTGAATCTGAAGAGAAGATCATGCAATAAATTTAAGGTGGTATGGCATAATACCCATTACTTTTAACAGACTTAGTAAAAACATATATCTGCATTTTACCCATAGTATTATTAACATGTATTATTGACATTTGAAGCTCAGATGCAGGAAACGCTAACGTAGTATTTTTAAGTCATTATAAGACATTTAAATGTCTTTGAATGGATTTATATTATCTTATTATTAGCTAGTAGAATTATTATTATCAGCTACTTGCTGGTAATATCCATAGTAACATTATTTTTATAATCTTCATTTTAGATCATTAGGAAAAAGTGTATTTAGATTAATGATTTTTTCCCTCTAAAACTGTAGCATGAATCAAAAACAGATTCAATTTTTAGAATTAGAAACGTTGATTTCTCTTTTGGGCCTAAAGGACTCTCTGGAGCTCTGATACACACAGCCTGAGGCCATTGTTTGATACCTATGACCTGCCAGGCACCAGAACAAGAGAGGTGTTGCTCTGATAATCCTTTGTACCAACAGACCTGAAAATCACTTATTCCTTGGGCCCTAGCATTGTGTTGCTTTCTTAAATGGAATATAACTACCTACTCTTTTTATTATAAATTTTAATTTTATTTTAGATGGATGATTTCTTTTATGATCCACATTTTTTTCTTTAGGGCATACTTTTAGATGAGAAAATATCCTTCAAAGAAAAATTAATTTTGAAAAATATCTTTCAGTGATAATGAAATTTCCCCAAAGAAAAGATAGGTGCACCTGAAAGAATGTCTAGGAGTCAGAGAGAAGAAACTGACAAGAAAGTCATGAGGAAAACTCTGTGCATCATCTTCACAATGTAGAAGGAAGATATGACATTTATCCTGCATATAATACTTCCTAAAATATTACTCTGTGCATCATCTTCACAATGTAGAAGGAAGATATGACATTTATCCTGCATATAATACTTCCTAAAATATTATCAGTTAGGTGACACATCAAAGATTTATCAGCTAATGAGTAAACTGTGATAGATTTAAGTTTTGAAAAAGGCAAAAAGACACAAATGAGACAAAAATAAACAATATCTAACCATCTCATAAATGAAGTTGATGGGAAACAATGAAAGCAACATGCATGTGCCAGAACCATGAAAGCTACTGAAATATAAGACACGAATGAAACAACTGAGTACTGAAAAAATAAAAAGCAAAAGAAAAGAACCCTGTAGATGGTAGAAAGAGCAGGAAGTCAGATAGAGGAAAACTGCATATGAATGCATTTTCCAGACTGAAATACCTTTCAAAGGTGTAAGCTCCACTTTTTCAGGAACTTCAGGTTTTTCTGGAACTTTCTTCTTTGAAACAGCTTTAAAGAATATGACTTACTTTCATTATTTGTATATTTAGGCAAATTTGAAGTTAATTACTAAATACTGACTCATAAATTAAAACCAAGCATTGCTTATAACTAAGAGCATCAATAACAGCCAAAGCCAAAGAACATCCAAGCCATACAAGAAGCATTCAGACCATGAAAACAGACTGCAAGTTTGCCAAAAGTTGAACAGTAAATTAAAGTCTGGCTAAGAGTAAAGGTAACTTTTAGTTTTATAGGAAGAAGAGCCTTTTTTTAAAAAAATATAGAACAAATCTCATGAATTTGCATGTCATCCCTAAGCCAGGACCATGCTAATTTTCTCTGTATCATTCCAATATTAATATATGTGCTGCCAGAGTGATAACAAAAAATTTCCTATGAGTATAAATTTCATATCAAGGGACAATATATCTAAGTGTGTGTCCTTGGGGAGTATTGATCAATAGATGCATAGTCTTCATGAAATTTCAACATTTTCCTCTCTGACTCAAAGTGTGGACATTCTCCCTAATCCATCAGAAGGATTAAAGAGGGACACGAGCCTCCAGAAGCAAAGTCTAACTCTAGAAGATTGTTGTTTGGTTACTATATAGATAGGCATGGAAAAAGTGCTCCTCCAAGATTACAGATAATTTTAATTAGGAGAAACTTATGATGCCACAAAGACAGTATTTTAAAAGATAAAAAGAGCAATATGCTTCTGCTGATATTCTTTCAAAAACTAAGTAGTGTTACGTCAATTCCAAGAACTATATAAATGCAAAAAGAATAAAAGGAAGTTTAGCAATGAGAAGAGATGCTGGATATCAGAAGTATTTATAGTCCCTTTTTGCTGGCTATGTTGAGCATCAACACAGAACACAACAGAGCTTTCATTAGGTCTTTTTTAAAAAAGCTGGAAGCAGCAACTTTGACATATGAACACATACCAGTCACTGGATGCATAAATATATTACTTGTAATATATCTTAAAGCATATAAATTCTTTAAGAACAGTTTTGACTTTTGTTATAACTTCCCTGCTGCAAAATTGAAAACACCTTGTAAAGATTTCTTACACATTCCACATGCTTAAGATCCCAAAGACAAGCAAGTAATCAGGCTTTGAAATTAAACAAACAAACAAACAAACAATCAAAAACATCTCTATATAAGAAAGTTAGCTGTAAAGCCTCTGCCTACAGAAATCCAGGATGAAATAAAAAATGCATTTTCTGCTTTGGGGGCAGCAGTCATGTTCTAACAAAGCACTGCAGGGCTCTAGGACAGCACAAAACTATGCCTTTATGCCATTCCCACAGCCAGATTATGTCTGAAATTACACACTTTTCCAAAATAGCAAATTTCTTGCAAATGCTGTTTCAGATAGACTGGGAAGAAGTTTGAAGCAAGTTAATAAAATTTTGGAAGTAGCATTTTGTACCTTTAAGTTGAAACATTTTCTCTTTTACATCTTCCTTAGGTGGAGCAGGAGGAGGAGCTGGGGGCTTTGGTTTGAGTTTTGGTTTCTCAATCACCTTCTTTTCAGGTTCAGGTTCTTAAAAAGAGTATTTTGGGAGTGTTAGTATATGCCCATGTTAATTACTATGTGGATATAGAGTATGCTGAATAATAATTTATATATATGTAAAAAGATTATATATTGTGTTAGCACCCAATATAAAACATAAAAAATCAACATAAAACATAAAAAAGAACATTGTTACAAAGATTATGTGAACTATAATAAGGACACCGATAAACACAACAAAGGAAGCACCCATATAAGTCACAGAGACATAAGATAAATAGGACAAATTACATAAATATTTAAGAATGATACGCACATTTACAACAAAAAACATATTACATATAGATGCAAAGAGACTATTATACATGTAAACAACATAAAACACACGTATTTCAAGATGAAGAATATGATAATGAAGATGTAAGTCCAATTACTGGATACCTTGTACTGGTATTTCTTCTGGTTCTGGTTCAGGTTCAGATTCTTCAGGCTCAACATATTTTTCAGATTCAAGGTCTTTAAAGAATGTTGACAATGGATATGAGATATCTTCACAAAGACTCAACAACGAAAATTTCACATTGGTGCAAAGATTATAAAAGCCATGAAACCAAAAATACATACACAATGCACACAAAATACTTATCTACAAAGAGAGAAGCCTTCTGTTTTCTTATACTTAAACTTTCTATTGACTATTTTATTTAATGTATGTTGATGGCATATAAAATAGCCTTTAAAATTTGGCATTGGTTATAGTGGAGAATCCAAACTAAATATTTCAGTTTTATTTTAGTAAATGGCACTCTGGAATCTATAATTACTACCAAGAATCAATACAAAAATTAAGGAGTTGGAGAAATTGTACAATGGCTAAGGAGATTGCTTTACACAGTTCGGGTTTGATCCCAGAACTGCATATGGTCTCCAAATCCAAGTCAGGAATGAATCCTGAACAGAAAAGCAGGAGTAAAGCCTGAGAACATTTGGGTGCAGCTCAAAAACAAAACAAAATAAATTAAAAAACAATTAATTAAATTTTAAAAATCTATTTCAGAAGTATAGCTATATTTTAAAATGAAGCAAGCATCTTTTGAAATGCGTTCACATTTACTGTCACCCTATTATAAATTTTTATTTCTAAAAAAAGTTTTCAAAAGATAAAAAACTACATATTGTTATATACCTTCATCAGGGGGAGTCACTGTTCTCTCAATGGTTATGGGTTCTATTTCTTCATGTATTGTTTCCTCTGGAGACTCTTCAACTTAAAAAACATAGTATTTTATTTTTGACTATATTCAGGATATTGCAACTTTTAACTTGCAACAAATAACTTGATTTCAATATTCAGATGACTTTCAAATATCAAACTTCATTACACAACACAAACAAAATATACACAAGACCCATTTACAACCAAAGCAAGATCATGAAGACTTATAGTGCAATTCTGTACCTTGGACAGGTGGAGCCTCTGGTTCTTCAGGGACAGGAACAGACACTTTCTTTTCTGGGACAATTTTCTTGGGCATTTCAGGCACTTTAAAGAGAGTGTTTTTTGTTTACAACTAAGAATTGAGATGTTCAAGATTGTGCAAAGAGCAGGCAAAGAATATAGGGCAAAGAATAACATGTTATAAGACTTCATGGGACAAATGACCTCACAGGCATGACACCCTTTTGGATATAATGGTTTTATAAGTGAAAATTCCAGTTTGCTTTATTTCTTTTCTTTTGTCTAAGTGCGAATGCAGGTGTTTTCCACTGGTATAACGTTGATGACTTTATAGATTTACTCTTCTTTATTTGAGCAATTATTCCTCCATTCTTAATTCTTATTTCCATGAGAGTATCTTTTAGAACAACACCTAGTTCAGATCACTTTCCTAAACTCCAGGAGCACATTCCTAACTTCCATACTTTAAAGTAAAAATGAATTCACTATGTCCTTTCTAATATCAGTTTGTCACAGACCCAATAAGCCATTCTCTTGGCTTGTTTAGCTTCAGGCCTTCTAATCATCTTGGATTTCTAACTACTCTGTTTAGACATGAAGTTAGTCTTCATCTCCCACAGATATAATCTTTTTTTCATTTCTACTACTATTAATAGAACTTATTTGTGTGTGTGTGTATGTGTGTGTGTGTGTGTGTGTGTGTTTCTGGGGATGGAGCCCGAGCCTCACACATGCACCTTGCATGGCAGATGCAGCTATTATTAAGCAACATCCCTGGCACCCTGTTCAACTCTTAACTTTAGATATCTACAATAATTCTTTGCTATTAAAACTGTCTTCCCATAGCTAATGACAGTTATTTATTTATTTTTTTGAAGCTCAACTCCTATTATACATCAGTTTAAAAACTGTGGTACTTGTGATTGTCTCCAGGATAAAGCACATGCTTTATATAAGGATCCAAGAGAGCTCCAAAAGTCTTCATATTCAAATTCATATTCAAAATTGTCTTTCAAGATCCCCTATCCATAATACAAAAGTGTGCCTGTCCTTAAACTTCTTAGGCTCTTCTCTGTTTCTCAATACTATTTTTCTTTTGCCTCAGATAGTATTTTCTCAAATGCTACATGTAAGACTCCATAAAAATGTAAATTTTTTAAAACGGTTTTCCCTGATGTCTCTGCTTGAAATTGATCTCCCCTTACTGGTGTAAGTTAATTGCCTTATATACACTTTCAATTGCCCTTTATATACACTTCAAATATATGATTATTTGCTTTCTATAGAAAATTAAGCTGTACTTTTCTTTCCTCTCAAGAAAAAATCAAGATTTAAGTTGCTTGAGGTCAGGGTCTGCTCTTTTCTGTTGAACACACTGTCTTGTTCCTGGTACTATGCTGAATTGAACTGTTCTATTCTATTGAGAGGACGCCTTTTCTACCACTAGCCACTGAGTCACATTCCCCCTCTCTGCTGTCTTATTTTCTCCTTTTGCCCTCATTATTTCCCTCTTTGTTCCATATGAATGTGAGTCTGCACAAACTCACTACTTTTTAGCCTAAGAACTTCTATTGAAAGACTAAGACAGTGTATAGAGATAAATATTTTTTCTTCACAGTAGGTACCTTTTTTGGGGAGGGCTTCTGGTTTTTTGGTAATGGGTTCAGGTTCTTTCTTTACTGGAACAAGTTTCTTGGGTTCTTCAGGCGCTTTGAAGATATTAGTTTTATTTTAAAGATAGTATTTAAAAACATCGAAAAATAAGAATAAACTATAATAAATAGAGCAGCATTAAAATTAGTGAAACAAAACAATGACATTTTATCTCTAGTGAAGACAACATATACTGTTTTAAGATATAGAATAATTAAGATGTTAAATTATTAAAACAATTAATATGTCAATGATTACATTAATACATTTACCTGCTGTTGTTTCTGGTTTCTTAATAGTTGGCACCTTCTTTGCTGGGACAACTTTCTTTGCCATCTCAGGTTCTTTAAAGATATTAGTAGTAGTTAATATTATAAAATTTCTATATACACAGTAGATTTGACATGTATACTCAACACTGTAACAGACTTGACAAAACAAAATACTGCACAATACATATGGAAAGAGAAAACTCAGATGTGACACAAAAATGAAGCAAATATTTATTTTATTGCAAATACCTTTAGGAGGTGGAGCTTCTGGTTTTTTGATGATAGGAACTTTCTTCTCTGGAACAATCTTCTTGGGCTCTTCAGGCACTTAAAAGATAGTCATTTCTTTTAGAAACAGATCATTAAAATGGAAAAGCTTAAAGCAAGTGAGTAAAAATGATCACACAGATTTTCTTGAGATGCACACTGCAAAGTGCTGTAGACCAAAGCCATAAGGTCTACAATCATAAT